CCCTCCCGATATCTCCATAGTGAATGTCATTGTGCAGCTTGTGCCGTAAAGAAAGTGTTAGTAATATAGTATATCTAGATACACGTCCGCAGGGTCCCCGAAAGTGTTCTGTTTCAAGAGTAAATAAACCAAAATTAAAAGTAACAAATATTTTTATTTCTTGCTTTGAAGTTCATATGTCATGATGTGTTGTAGCCTACAGAGTGCATAATTCTTCTCTTGACACATGGCATGCCACATTTTACTGACGTCACAACAGTACAAATTGCAGCGTTAAGCGTCCCTTATCAGATGTCATTTTAGTGTCTACTGACTGACTGACAGACAGACAACACACTACTGTATAGTGGTGCAAGTGGTTAAAACAGGTTACCCCTCGAATTTAGAATAAGATTTTAATTGAAAAAGGTGAATATATTAGATAAACTATAACCAATGTTATTTATATTTTAACATTTTTAATATACTTAATTTACACATGATGTGTAATATATGTTTGTACATTTGGGAAATATATGTATTTGATTTAGATTATTTACGTTTAGTTCAAAAAATGATATTTGAATGTTTTTGTTATAGATTCTCAGTAAAATTATATCCTGAAAAGTGGCCTTTGAAGTCACGAAACCGTTTGAAGAGGATTGTTTGTTTGTTATGAATTTCGCGCAGAGCTACACGAGGGCTATCTGCGCTAGCCGTCCCTAATTTAGCAGTGTAGAACTAGAGGGAAGGCAGATAGTCATCACCACCCACCGCCAACTATTGGGCTACTCTTTTACCAACGAATAGTGGGATTGACCGTCACATTATAACGCCCCCACTGCTGTTTGGTGTGATGGGGATTCGAACCGTGACCCGCAGATTGTGAGTCGAACCGGGCCAATTTGAAGAGGGAGTTAGAACTATATAAGAACTTTTATGGTAGGGTATATAGTTCTATTTAATATCTTATAGTTCTATCTAGTTCTATTTAATAACTTTTTGTAAGGGTGGAGGTTGGGAGTTTAATTAGTAGAAATATTAGGGTGGCTTTATTTCAATTCATTTCTACTTTAAGAAATTTAAGGGTAACTGCCTTCCCATAACTGACTATAGACAATGAAAGGCAGTAGAAGCTGAGACGTTGTGAGTGTAAGCACTCAGCTTCATCCCCATATTTGATTTGATTTTTTTTTCCATGATGGCTGACTAGATTGACATCGACCTTTGGATATTGTCTGATATATGGGATATCCCTAACGCATTTGGGTGCTATTACCACAGACATCATCCGTTATGACAATAAGTTGACAACCAGGACCGATAACGGTTTTGCGATATATATATATATTTGTCATAAATGCTCTTTTCAATGTTTAGTTAATGATATATGCCCATTATTAGAACATTGTGACATTATTTCATATATATACCAACACGACTTACATTATAGCTATCACAGTAAAATAAAACGGTTTGTGTCCCTTTCGTATAATTAACAATATACTAGTATGGTATATTGACATATAAATACATCATGCAGCTCTAGAGAACTGGATTGGACGAGCGATCGTTCTACAGTAAGCATATTAAGAACAAGAAACACGCATGACACTTCCAAACTGGTTGGTTCATCATTAATTAAACTTCATCTGCTATGCACGTATTCTTATACATCAAAATATTATGTAATTAGAAGAGGGCGCAGTAGAGCGCATACCAACGCAACGTTGATCATATTCGGCTCTCAAAAATAAGTATGAAAATGTGTCCCTATGTCCGTCGTAATCAACAGACACGGATTATTTTTGGCATGATAATGAGGAATAATATTCTACATATGTCCACCAAGTTTCATCAAAATCCGATCATTTTTGACTGAGTTATAGGGTAAAAATAGTGTGAAAAATCGGTCCCATGTTAACAGATGGGAAGAGTTTTTGTATTTTCGTGACCTTGACCTTTCAAAAACTAATCACTTCTAGGTTAGGTCATAATCCAAATTTATATAAAGTTTCGTTCAAATACATTCAGCCGTTTTTGAGAAATCTTACTGACAAATACACACACACACAGGGGTGAAAACATAACCTCCGTCATCTTCTCCACTTTAGGTGTCTTGAACCTCACTTTTGACAAACTTCGTTGAGGTTTTACATAAATACCCGCCCCTTATGCCCGATTTGTCTTCGCGGACGGTGGAGTGGTTCAACAAAACATTCTCTTTCTCGTCTCCGCGAAAATCGGAACGCGGATGCTTATCCAAAGTTAATGATGACGAGAAACCCACTTGAAGTGAAAATGTATTGCAGAGCTGGCTGGTATGGGTATTAAAAACTGTACGAGATAATTATATACAGTGTGGTATAATATAGAAAATTGAACTGCTTTTCATTATATATGCTTAGAGTCAATACAAAAAAACAAAAACGTTTTAATTAAGACGATAATAAATTAACAATTTGTGAACATAAAAAGTACAATTTTGTTTCAGACATTTTCAATAAAAAAATCGGATTGAGTAAATTAATCGAAAAGAATTAAATGATTCTCCTATTTAATGACATTTCACTGTTTGGAATCAATCAAATTTTGTATTTCCCAAATTAAAATATTGTGCATTCTAGCAAATTATATGAGTTTCAGGAACGAACAACTTATTAATATGATGGCTGTTTGTTTGTTCTTAGATCAAAGCCATATTGTGCTATCTGCTCTGTCCACAATGGGGAATCGAACCCAATAGTTTAGTGCTGTAAGTTTGTAGACTTAGCTTTTTTCCATCGGGGGACAGTATCATGGCTGAAAACATTTTTAACCTAGTAAGGGTACCTAACTGATCATTCAATGCATCTTAACTATTTAATTTCTATATCTATTAATTCAATACATTCTGTAGTTCTAGCCAATTTGCTATACAGGATTGACTTCATTAGTTTGTAAGTTTAAGCTTACGAAGTACAACTCCAAATGGGTAATTAAACATGCCTCCCTTTGTAGAGATCAAAAATTGTATTTTAGAAGTATTGATAATTCGTGAGTACCTCTAAAAATATGATAATTTGTAATTTGCGTTTATTTTACCTATTTAGTTCGCGTTAACTTGTCTTTGATCAGAACCTCTTAATAATTAATTGTTTTTGCTTTTTTCAAAGTACTCATAATAAAGTGTTTGTATTTTCTAAATTTCCTGTTATGTTTCAAAATAATACTTGAAACGTTTTAACGTTTCTTTTCAAATTATTTTATAATTAGTTTTGCAACATATTAAAACCTGAATCACATTATTAGTCACATAAGCGTTCATTTAACGGATGTATGGATTATTATTCATACTACGTGTCTTTAAGAGACTTTGATACATATAGACAAGATTGCCTGTCAATAGCACTCGTTTTTCTTGGCACATCATAAACTGCAGTTAACTTACAATTTGAGCGCGCCATTTTGTTTTCGCTGAACAATTGATATTACTATTACAAGTATTAATATTATTAAGCGTTTGTAGGAAGGTTAGTTATCTACGTACACTATTACAAGATTTAAGGTAGTTGCAAAATGGCAGCTAACCAAGAAGAAAACTCTGGAAGCACAACGAAAAAAAAAATTACAGATCTTCGTGTTGTAGACCTTCGAGTTGAATTGGAAAAGAGAGGGCTGGACAAAGGAGGTGTGAAATCAGCCTTAATAGAAAGACTGACGAAGGTTAGTTAAAACCTAAAAGTTAAATATGAGTTGTTTAACATATTGGTTATCATTTATTAATATTATGAGTATATATCAAAGCAGTAATGAAACGATAGTAGTACTATATCCAGTGCATGTTAGGTTTTATTTTTATGAACTTCTGTATAAATTGTGTAGATCAAATTGAACGTTATGTTTTTGTAACTGTTATTATAACTTTGTATTAAGTAGTGTGGAGATCTACGTCTATAATATACCATTTACCATGTTATTTTTGGTTCTGATGAAGGAGAAAACCCTAACTATATTGTTAATTTCTTTTTTTTGCAAATAAGTATAACTATAACTTGTAAGGCCTCAACTGTTTATTAATTTTTGACTTGTAACTGTAAGTTGTAATATATGAATAAAAATTAAGTAGCTAATAGATAAATAATTCACAGAGATTATAGTTTGTACACATTACGAATAGCATTTTTTATTTTAATTTCTGCCATAATAAATGTGATAAAATAACAGTTAAAGTAAAGATGAATTATTTATATTTTACATTTACTTTGCTTTATTTGTATATTACAAGTCCAAAATTAACATGGAGAGTTGGGCCTTCTCATTCATCATAACTTATTTTTTGTCAATTCCCATACTACTTGTTTTCTTCCCTTCATTATTGAAGGGCTGAGGACATTACTATTAGTTTAAGCGTTGTTCACCAAAAATAAAAATTGCTATTGACATGGTGGCTGTTAATAGTATTGTGGAATGACTCTTCAAGTGGCAGCTAAGACCTTGTAAAGCTCGCATATTATAATAACAAAACACCTTTCTTTTTGGTGAACCAAATTTTTATCTTAAAAACTGCAAACTTTTATAATTTTGTCAATAATTACTACTTTTGCATTTTCATAATGTTTTCACTGACCAGAAAAGCCTTCCAGTTTTCTTGTACTTTGCTACTCATGAGTAACAGATGAGAAACCTTGCACAAAACTCTGAATTAACATTTTAGAATGTGTCTTATGAGATAAAGCATTATATCATTGTCTGAGGTTCTTATCTGTTACCCATGAGTTGCTGACTGTAAAGATATTTTTGTAGTTTATGGGTTACTCACCACAGATTTCAAATACAGATATAGCTGCTATAATGCGACATTTCATAATGTGGATTTGGAGTTACACGATTTATTTTCTAAAAACCAGAATTGTTATAATGCTCTGCATGATTTGGAGTTACACAGGTTTTAAATACAAAAAAAAATTTAAAGTATATAAAAAAATGCAAATCAAACAAGCAATTACCCCATGAAACAGCCATGCCAATCCTGCGAGAAAAGTTATGTAGATGAAACCAGTAGAAGCATTGACACGAGAGTTTCGAAACATGAAAAAGATATAAAGTATGAAAATCAAAACAATGTCATTTTTCTTCATATGAGAGAGACTGGCCATCAAACCGATTGGAAGTCAAAAAGAATTTTATACAAAATGGATAACTACATAAAAAGAAGAATCATCAAAATCCTGACCTCCTGTGTCCTTAAGGGAATTCCAAGAACAGCTGTCACATAAGCATTTTCTGACAAGTTTTTTCTTCCTGCTAGAAGACAACGTCAGACTGAAGAGGATGCACGAATGTGTTGAAACTAGTTTTTCTGATTTCTGACAGGTCATTCGGTCTATTGTGGTTTTTTCACTACTTTCTACACATTGATGTTATGTTTTAGTCTTCAAATTAAATGTCTTGCTTGTAATATTTGTTTCTTTACATTAATAAAATTGACTTTAAGGGAAAAATAATTTTGCAGAAATGCATCCCTGGCTTGTAACATTGTTCCAATGGGGGAAACCTGCATATTATAACACGAGTTTGTATAACATGCCATTTTCAGGAATGCATTCCACGAATTATAGCAGGTATACCTGCTTTAGATACAGAACAGGCATGGAAAGATTTTGTAAATGACAAAAATGGCAAGAGAAGAGATAAATGTCTTACAGAACTGATTAATGCCCTTCTGATCCTGCCATACTACATGTATGGATCTTCTTTAGTCATGTCATCTGTTTGCTCTACTACTAAAACACAGCATAAAACAAATTTCAGCAAGTCTTTGTTATTAAAAGCTAAACCAAGTGCAGGTGCTAGAAAACTTGTAAATTAAAGATTGCTAACAGTAACAATAAGAATTGGAGGTGGTATTCTGTTATGCTGAATTAATTTTTTTCAGTGAAAAAATTCTACAATATAATAACTACAAGTTATATTATTATATTCACCCTTGGAGTAGTTTTGTAGAAACTCATCTGCAGTACAAACATCAAAAGGAAAATTTTGTTACAGTGGGATTTCACTTCAAAATTATATAAAGTTTGCAACTTCAGTCTGTTTTGAAAACTATTTTTATTTTACCATAGTGGCTGCCATGTGTGAATTAAGAGTTTGGTTATTTGTACAGCAGAATCAAGAATTTTGAGGAATAATAATTTTATGTTACTGAAATATAAAAAGACAAGTCAAAAGAAAAATAATCCAATTAATTGGAGGTAATTATTAGATGTGCTTATCTCATCATAGTAGTCGATACGATACATCTAGATACAGAAGTTTTACCAACGGTTTGTTACAAAGTTTGACAGTCTTGTGTGTAATTTATTATCTATGTTACTAACTTTTTCTTTTTCTTTATTTAAGTACTTCACACCTTACAGTGCTTTTTCAAATTCTCAGGCTTGATCAATGAAATTGCAGCTGGCAAGAGAAGTAAAATATAAAAAAAGTTAATATCTGTCCATCTATTTTGGTATTGTTAATTTGTTATGTTACTTTGCATGTAATGTTTTTGATAAAAGAAATGAAGACAGCATGTAGTACTCAATACTCATCTTCCTGTATCGAATCATTAATTTTTTAGCAAAAATACTATATAAGAAATTCTGATTTTTTATGTACAAAAAACTTGTAATGTTTACTGAAAGCTTGCCAAATTTCGTGAAGATACATAAGTCATATCGTATCGGATGATGTATCGATATAATCGTATCACAGCTTATGATACCATACTCGTATCATACTGCTGTATCACCACACCTTTAGTAATAACATAAACCTTGATTAAATGTTTAGGAGCATCTGTCACCATATTGCGACCACATAATGCAGTTTGAATTGCCTGCTATAAATGTGAATCAAGTGCACGAAATCAATAGACAGTCTAATCTGCATAGTTGATGATTATAATTGCTGATTCTTGTCCAACATGGCTTATGCTACTATTCAAAACATCAGTAATGTTTAGTTTAAAGTTAAATTTTTATGAGAAAATGACACCAAATTGCCCTAGTGTTTTCACACTTGAAGAGACAGACTTGTATAAGTTGATGATGATTCTGGCACTGAACCTCATTTATCTAATAATGATTTTGAGCATGATGTGACTGAAACAAAAGTACATGCTTAAACGGATCAGGTGTGTTAAATTGTTTTGCAACTGGAAGTTCTTTGTTCATTTTGATTAAAGATTTGTGGTTATTAATGCTTTGACTACAACCTACTTACAGTGTAAATAGGTATGCAACACTCGAGAAAGTTCTTTACAAAAATTAAACTAGTCAATAAAATTCTTTTAAATTTGAGATGAAAGGTCCTATAAGTATGTTGTTTTTTTAAAAAGAAGATATTTTTCAATTTTGATTTTTTTTCTAAAGCAGTGTTTTTCTAGTGTCTTTTCTTTTTGCATGTTTCCTTTCTATCATGCAAAGTAATATTGATTTCAAGATTATGCATTAGAAAATTTTTAAATTTCACATGCGAAATCTTTATAATG